TGTGTTATACGCACTGGTGACGTAGAACTACGTGGTCTTATATAATAAATTTTATTTGTTAACAGCAGTAGGAGCTTTTGTTTTGTGTAGGGATAGGAACATGAGCGCGGTTCTCTCTGTTTATACTCGTTAGAATGACGCGCTTGACATAGATGGCCCACAGCGGCTCACAAATAGCTACAGATTCCCATCAATAGCGGTGCGGCTTCTTCCGCCTTCTATGGATGCTCATGTGGACTGCAGCTCGCTGCTTGCAGGTAGCCTTTCGTTGTGTACTGGAGAACAATTTTCAATGCCACGCGCCGAAAGCACTGCTGCTGCTGCTGCTGATGCCTACGACATGACACCACAACAACCGTTGGAACTGAATCCGATCAGCGGTTGCGGCCAGCCTTGACTGCTAGCTGCTTGCGGGGAGCCTTTTGTTGTGTACTGGAGAACAGCACTCACCAGTCACCACGCGGTGATTGACCAAACACCGTTTGGTGAGACCGGATGGAATTAAACTTTGAAATCTGTGTTAGGGAAATCGCTTTTCGCATGCAAACGGTGATAATTTTAGTTATCTTAGCAACAGTTGCACATTTGTGCAACTTTCAATAGTGGCATTTTGAAATATGATAAAGCCTTAAATTTAACAGAAGCGTAGAAATATTTATCGATTGGTGATAAAATAATTGAAATTGGTTCAGGGGCAGCTGAGTTATTAACGTTCAAAATCTTTCATAATTTTGTTACATGTTCCATTTTCGGCTTTCACAAAGTGTACCGCTATATAGAAATCACAGACGTAGTCCTATGTCAAAATAAATAAAATTTAGGATTATGCTAGGAGAAAAGCGTCTAACGACCATGGTGATCAGTGAATCCCGAATTTCAATTTCCCAGTTTTCCCCCGGAATTATGGAAATGTTTTCGGTTGTGCGATATAGGGGAAATGGATGTAATGTCGGCCTAAATGCCCCTAATTTGGGCCCATACATAAATTCAGCAATCGACTGAATTTTCAAAAGCGACCAAAAATATCCATTAGTACCGTCCCAATGACGTGTTCATCTAGATAAAATTGATAAATATCAGATATTTAGCGATGGGCCCAATCTTGTATCCATAGGCCAACATTAGAGCCATTTCCCCTACATAATAATTATGCATAAAACCAAAAGGTCCTAGGTTAAATGGGTTATTGCTAAAACAGCAGAATTTTTCCATGGTCGAATTTAGTTCTGCGTACGAATTCTTCAAAATGTGTATATGTTTGAAACAGCTTGAAAATTCACTCAAAAATCTTTACACGATTTAATTGGAATATTCTCAAGCATTTCATTTAGAATCATTTTCCTTCACAGAGTTCATATTAGAATTTTTCAAAAATAAGTTTGAGATGCTTTTTCTTTATAGCAGTCCAGAAATTATCTCCAGATCAATCAAAAAAATCATGAAATTCATCCTTAGATTTTCTTCGAATTTTTCAAGGAATTCACTGAAGCTGCTTTCCATAATTCTATTTAAAACTCGTTTATATTCTCTAAAGATTTCCCAAGCAATTCACCTCATGATGTCATCCAAACAGGGTCGGTATTAAAAGTTAATCCGAGTTGAAGCGTACCGCCCTTAGAGTTCTTTACAAAACTCGCTTTAATTTTCTCTGAAATACCTTGATACTATTTCTGACATTCATTTTAAAATCTTCTCAAAATTCTCTTGAAAAAAAATTGACCATTGCAAGAGGGAACTTTCAAATAGCCGTATCTGCTTTTGTAAACAAAGATTCCAATGGGAATTTGTCAAAATACTTGCCCACGCAAACTAACACCACCACAATGTTAACGAAACGTTAGCCTACCCTGATGGGGGTGTTAGAATTTGTGAATAAAAGCAGACACGACTATTTGAAAATTCACTCTTGAATAGTTCTTCAACGTAACTGTATGTTGAAAATGTAGTCTAGTCCAAGAATCTTGAAATTTTTAAATGGTCCAAAATCTTATCTAGGGGAAATCTCTCTAATGTTGGCCTATGGATCTAAGATTGGGCCGATCGCTAAAAATCTGCTGTTTATCAATTTTATCTAGATGAACGCATCATTGGGACGGTACAAATGGATATTTTTAGTCGCTATTGAAAATTTAGTCGATTGCTGAATTTATGTATGGGCCCAAATTAGGGACAATTAGGCCGACATTACCTGCATTTCCCCTATTTTCGAAATAAAGAGATGTGGTACATTTTTTTCGATTCATCTTCGAAATTCCCTGCTTTTTCCGGTCTTCCCGATTTCCCGGTTCATAGTTCACCCTGGACATTTGAAGATGAAGGCACCTGGGATTGAACCCAAGAACTTCTGCTCAGTAAGCAAAACCAGTCGCTCATAGGCCACCGAGATCTTCATATCACCCGATTACGATCAAGTTCCCACGCAACTTGCTGTTACTAGGTTTCAATCCCGACAGCGATCTCAACGAAGTCGATAACGACTGTTCTTGATAAGGATTTGATATGGATTTCCGATGAACACTTTCGTCAAACTCGAATATTATGTCTTTTACATACTCGTTCCAACCGAATTTCATCACGTTTTATCTCATATTAAGAAAGAAAGCCGATTTACACTATAACGCTATAATGTGGAGTTAGCAAAACCGGTCACCACAAGGCCACCGAACTCCTTACATCACAAAACAATAACGATCAAGTTTCCGCTCAATTTCGTTACGTTTTATCTCATAAGAAAGCGAATCAAGTTTATCGATGTTTTAATCGATAAATTAACATAGGACCGTATTCAAAAAGGACTCCAGTATTGGGCGCATCACGACGAATTTTAGGAAATGCAGTAAGATATTAAAGCTAAATAAAGCTTTATATCTGCATATATCTAAAACATACTGAAAAAAAATCACTTGTAACATAAGTCTTGTATATTTTTCTTTCTGAATTACAATTTCATACTGTAGTCGGACCTTATTTTTGTACATAAAATAAAGAAATAATGGTAGGATACCTCATGCCTTTGTATTCCCTACCCCTTTCAAACGGTGCATTTTACCATAATGTAACCCCATAATGTTAAATGTTTATAATATCATGGAAAATCATCGTTTAGGAGTATGAAAACACTCCATCTTCGTAGAAAACTTTGGAATGAACGATACTCAATTACCTTTTCCTTTAGTTTAGCTTCCATATACTAGCAGTCCACGATTTTGTTTAAACGGTGCGTTTAAGATCTTAGACCTCTCTTACATAAGAACCGAAAACTCTCAACAGGGAGCAATCAGCATCCTACTCTTACGTATACACCCCCTATTTTTCTTTTGGAACATTAAGTTTTGCTTAGTTGCCAAATCAGGGGTTCCACAAATTCATCCGCAATTGGTTTCAAATTCAGCCATTCCATAGCAAAACGAAATAGTGGTTCTCAGAATTTCCTAAAAACTGGGAGTTTTGTTCATTATAGCAAAATTTTAGACCGGTATTTTTTTATGCTGTCATAAGGGTGACCATTTCCATGTTAGAGTAATCCTAAAAACCGATTTTTTTTTTCAAAAATTACATTTTTTCAAACATAAACTTTGACCACTGGGCCGTTTTCAAAGATCAAAATATCAAATGAAAGGTAATTAAAAATACTTTTTATGAACAATATATTAAAGTTAAATATTTGGGATTTTGTATTTTCGATAAGGAACCAAACTACCAATTTTAACGAAATTCTGAGAACCACTACATTGTTTTGCTATGGAATGGCTGAATTGGGGTTTTGCATAAAATAACGCATTCGGAAATGTTGGACCATCTCCTTGGCAGTTAGCAGTTACAGAAAACTCTAGTTCTGTCAACTCACACGCAGAGGGTGGGAGTTTTTAATTAATTCTAAAAAACCTATTTGACAATTCTTTGAACATGGAATTGCATCCCTAAATGTTTTAAGTTGGCTCTGTGAGACGGAAAATATGAAATTTTAAATACATAAAAAGTAAATTGCTTTCGACAAAAAAGAAAAGAGTGGGAGTTTTGAAATCTCCTTTGACCTGATAACCATTCAGGAGCATTTCCAAGGACTCATTTGACAATTCCTGAAAATATCATTTGGCCTGATATTCATTCAACATCATTTCAAAGGACCCATTTGACAACACCCCAAACATGAAATTGCCATCATGAATGTTTTGAATTGGCTCTGGGAAATGAAAAATATGAAATTATAATTTTTTAAGAAAACTTGTATTATTCTGACACAAACGCAAAGGGTGGGAGTTTTGCAATATCATTTGACCTCATGATCATTTAAGATCATTCTCATTGACCCATTTTACAAATCCTGGAACATGGAATTTCTTCCATAAATATTTTGAGTTGGCTCTGGGAGACGGAAAATACGAAATTTTCAAGTCTTAAGTAAACTCAACTTCTTTCGTCTCAAACGGAAAGGGTGGAAGTTTTTAAATATTGTTTGGACTGATAACCATTTAGCATCATTCCAAAGGATCCATTGCACAACTCCTGGAACATGGAATTGGTACCATAAAACGGGGTATCTTTGATAATGCGGGTAACTTTGATAGCAGAATATAATGATTAAATTTACCTTCTGCACTATTTCCCAATTAAAAACATTGGTTCCATTTTGTAGCTTGGGGTATTACCTTTGATAACATATAGATTTTTTATAAAGTATGTGTTACACACGTGCTGTAACAGATTTTCCGAAGATCACTAATTCTAGATCTTAATGTTTTTCAACGAAATTAATACCATAAATGTTTTGAGTTGAGTTGGAAATTTGAAATTCAACATTTCACGTCGTAGATCTTGACCTTGAAAGAGAATTAAGGTTTGAATCTTAAACATAAAATTCTAGATAGTAACATTTGCTCCCTAGTCCAGGACTTATTGTTATTAATGTAAATTTTGTTTCCCTGCTCCATCTTGACATTTTCTCCAATGTCCTGTCTAGACAACTAGTTACTAATACCCGCCATTCTTCTCTATTGCAGTGCTACGACACCCCAACGGGATTCGGTCCGGGTTCCATGGGAACCGGAATCGGCACTAGTGGATCCTACCTACTGGACAACGCAACTGGCAACGAGTACCAATCCCTCCCGGTAGCGGTCACGGCCCACAACCATCATTACCCACATCATCTGAACGGACCTCCACCGAGCTACGATACGGTTCTGGCTCAGGACGAACGAGCCGCTACGGTAGCGTCTCGCCGAAAAAGTTGCGACTTTAGCACGGTGTCGTCGTACGAAGGAGACTCCAGCCCCCGGGGACTGTCGGCCAAGTTGGAAGCGCTTCTGTACGACCCAATTGGAAACCAACGACGCAAGCAGAACCGTTTGATGGAACCTGATTTCACCGATTTGAGCAGAGTGCTCCGATCGCCAACGACCGGATGTGGCGAAATCGGTAATTGCAACTGCCAGTTGAACGATAGCTTGCAAGTGTACTGTCGGAACTGCGGACAATTCGTGGACGGAGGGGTAGTGCAAAATCACTTCAATAACAATCATCTCCTCGGTTGTGGATCGACGGCAATGGAAACGACAACGGAAGGTGATTGTGGTACTGCCACCACCAATTGGCCCGGGTCAGTCACAATTTGCAGTGACAATCTGATGGACTGCGACGGGAACGGCGACGACAATAATGGCAATAACATCCAAGTCACCAACAGTGACAATGGGATCACCCACCACAGCTGTAGCAGCCACAACGGGTGCGGATTGAATGAGCTATTACAAGATTTACAATTTCATTCAGATGATTCTGCTACGGCGGCGACCGGTGAGCTCAACAATAACAACAATAGCCAACCAGGTCGACCAACCATCAGCTGCACCAGTCACGATGACGCCCGGCATAATGAGGAGAATAATAATAATCTCCCTTCAAGTGCAGCACTGCAACCCATCAAATCTAGAACAATACCGAGCGACGATGCAGGAGTAGCAGCAGCAGCGGCGGCAGACGACAGCGATGCTACCGCAGGAGATAGTGGCAGTAATAACGCTAATAGCCTCAACAACCATCACGATTTGGCGGCGGGAACCGTTGGGGTAGGTCCTGCTAACAACGCCGGCGAAGGTAATAAATCAGCTGATAACGAGCGGGCCGCAATGGGCAGCGGCGGAGGTGACACTTTTCGGAACCTGGCCGAAAATGGTCTTGTTCGGTTGGATATGAGCCAGATCATCGATCAAACTGGACTGCCCACCTATGAAGCCGCACTGAGGTTGGAATCCAGTGGATACGTCTGAGAGCGGGAGTACAGATTTGATGTGGTGAATTATGAACGAATCAGTCCCCGGTAGACGGCGGCACGTGTTAGCCGCAGCCAGTAGCTTGGCGGAAATAAATCACATGTGATGGGGCCTTCAAGAGAGTTGGAGATGAAATACGTATTAACTATATTATTACTAACTGTTTAGGAAAACTGCACACGTGCGGCGGCGTACAGCTCAGCCGAGGAATTTGCCTTCGTGGTTGCATCTAGTCCGTAAGGGAAGAACTAGTTATAAGAATGAGCAAAGCATGTTATCTAGTCGCGTATGACGGGGAAGGAGTTTTGACGGTACAGGAATCAATCATTTTTTTCGATAGGGTACCCCAAAAAAAGCAACCTTTGAAAAACAATATGTTTGGCTTTATTTGAAAAAAAAAATGGTTTCACATATTGGAGCCTTCCGATTGATTCATAACCCCAAGATATGAGCCTGTGCAAACACTTGTAAAGATTGGGGAAGGATTAAGAGTCGCGTAAATGAAATTTGTATGGAGGTATTGGCGAATTACTATAGGAGATTTTAAAATTTAACTAATATCGGTCTATTTTTGGTTCAAGTTGTCTAAATGCTGTCAAAATTTAATAGGCGGTTGCTATTACTAGCCTTTTGTGGATACTATATAATTGTTATTGTTGTCAGTCACATATATAATCATCAATTTACTCTATTTAACACTTCGAACATCAGGTATCGGCCTCAGGTAAATGTGTAACGGTGAATAGGCAATGTTTGAAAAATAATTGCTCAGCAATTTATCGAAAACTTTTTAATCTATTGATACCGACTAAATTTTTAAAGTATGTAGAATCAAACAGCGCCAACAGATTTGAAATTCGTCTATAAATGGCTGAGCTATGATTTTTCAAAAATTGCAAGTATGTCGCTACGCATTTTACCGTAGGCATCGTGTTCGGAATGTAAAGGATTAGGATGATTTTGAAATTTCCCCAATATCGCTCTAATTTTGGTTCTAGTTGTCCAAATACAAGTGAATATGTTGCTTATATAACAATGTCTCACAAGCCTGGTTAGGTAGCAAAGATAGAAAATGCGAAAACATGATATTAACACTCCGAACACGATGCCTCCGGTAAAATGTGTAACGGCAAACTAGCAATGTTTATCATAGCTCAGTCATTTATTGACAAATTTTAAATCTATTGGCGCCATTTGATTCTTGCAGTGTTCACTCGGCTGTCGACAAAAGCAGGCCATTCTCGATGTGTGCCACGCGATCGTCTGTTTTCTCGGCAGCAACCATTATGTGGTTTTTCTCATTGTTCTTCATCAGCAGTTCTTTCGGTCGATGTGTCGTCGACTTTGAAAAGCAACCGTTAAGTGATGAGTGTGTGAGTGCTGACCACGTTTTGCGTCCATTGCTGCAATGGAAGCGCTTTGACCCCTGTTGGCGTAACTGCCATACAATGAAACCACTGGAAGCGGCTCCAGTTCTGATGGAGGAGGCTTTTTGGATAGCGGAAGATAAAGTGTTTATTGTGTTGTACATTTTGACTAAAGTTTTAAGATATATTGTATAGTGACCAAGAATCCTCGGCTCTGTAAAGTTAATTCGTTTGAGCCTTATCAAATAAATTAATAAACAACATTTGATTCTTCATACTTTAAAGGTTTAGTCGGTATTAAAAGATTAAAAAATATTTAATCCAATGCCAATTTACCGGAGGCATCGTGTTCGGAGTGTTATTCAATTTTTACCATTTTTTGCATCCGCTCAAATTTTCGAATTATGAATCAGTTAAGGGAGGCCCCAAAACCCTAGTGGCATCTAATATACTCAACATCCAGGAAAAAATACACACGTGGTTTCGACTTTTCAAAAAGGCATCGATAATATCAAGGTTTCTAAAAGTTCAGTAGAAAATTTCACGTAAGAATTACAATCTTAGATTCTAATAATATCGTTTAGGGTTCTAGTAAATGCCTAAAATTAAACAAGGAATTGCTAAGAATCTCGTAAAAAAAACTTTGAAGACCTTTATACTATTTTTTTACTTTACCTCGCAGAAGTTTTCGGGGTGTTTCGAGATCCAAAAATGTATATCGGAAACAGTCTATAACAAAAGACGTTCCATACAACCTAAAACTATCGAACCCATAGAAGAAAAAAAAAATAAAATAAATAGTATGCTAATTGTTTTTCAATAGTTACTCAGTTGAAACCTCAAGAATACATATGGACGAGAATAATGAACACACGGTGAAGCTTAAATGGTTACTGACTATTTCAGGGTGGCATATTGAAATTCCTGGCTTTTTCCCGGTTCAAATCTTAAAAATTTCCCGATTGTTAAACGGTTAGAGCAAAAGACGAAAGTATTAAAATATCACGTTATTTTCATGATACTTAGTATTAATTTGAAAAACTGTTTAAAGTTCGATTCTTTTTGTGATTTGAATACACCTGAATTTACAAAGAAGCAGAGTAATGCAATTTTTTAAGGTCACTTAGCCGAACGCTAGCGGACTGAACGGGTCATTTCACCGAATTTTAGAGCGAGAGATTGAGTTAAGAAATTGTTTTAGAAATCTTGAACTTGATACAAAGATCTGGAAGCAAGCAAATGTTTTAATGTGTCATCGGTATTAATAGAAATATTAATTAAAAATATATTTAATTTTTTTTTCAAGATTCTGAAGCTTTGACATTTGTCTAGAGTCTTAGCATATGACTTTGCTTTGAGACTTGTAACCCCTTTTACCTAAATTGTAATGAAAAACTAAAAAAATAAAATATAACACAGCTTTTTTCGTTGAGAAAAATTCTAAAAAAATTAAACTTGGAACTTGGAAAAGTTCCATAATTCGAAGAATTGTTTGTACACGCAAAGCAAAAATTTATTACAATTAATGTTAGTTTCATTTCCTATCATCCTCTGATCATGAACATCGCAGCGAATGTTAGAAGTTGACCTTGCAGACGAAGCAATGATTTTTAATCTTTTTTATTCCGTGTTCTGTATATGCTTTCACCTACACAAGCAAGCATTTGCCTTGATTGTTATGTACAACATGGTAGAACGACGCTCAAACTTGCCTCAATTCTCTCCAGCAGAAAAAGCAAAAAGTTGAGTATGCGAGGAAATGAGCACTTCTTGTTTGCTTTTAGCCAATCCATATATCGACGTATGGAAACAGCAGTGGAGAAAGCACAGGTCTGATAATCGCAACGTTCGTGGTTCGAGTCCCCCCAAGTCGGACACTTTTTTTTCGACATGATTAATTTCACTCACTACACTCCACATTTTTCTTTCTCCATTTTCTTGCATTGGACCGCAGCTCTGTATATCGCATATTCGGTTCATGCGTTCTCCACTAACATTCTCTGATGATAATTGTAAGTGAATCTTACATCCCCTGATTATTCTCGGCAACCTAAGCAGCGACCTTCTTTCTATAGCCTTTTTCTCTAAGGAACGCACACATATGCAGTATTGGTTTGTTTACAATCTTTTACTGCCAGCTGCTCTAACAATTTCAGTCGAAAGAATTGTCAAAAACTGTTTTGAAACGTTTTTACAAAGCTCCAATCTTCTCTAGTGAGAGCGAGTATTGTCGGCAACCAGTTTTTCTTGGGCAACCGTTCCATTTGAACTGCATGTAAATCTGCTGTTCTATTATCGGCAACTCGAAATCAGCTACAATTTGTAGTGCGTGTGTTGCATTTCAAGAAAACCTTGGTAGATTGCTTTATCTCAGTGGTAAAAATATAGTCAAATTGAAGCTGAAAGCATAAAGAATCGTTTGCATGCATTCAGCGAAGTGTTTTCGTAAGAAAATCCAGTGAAAATAGTGTTTCAATTTGGGTTGCCGAAAATAGTCTGTCATGCCGAAGCCGTCATTTCCCCTACTGAATTGTGTCTACCAAATTGTGAGGATAATTCAACGGAGTCCTGAGTAGAATTCCAAAATAACTCTGAGGTTAAATCCTATTGAATTCATTGAAGAATTCCAAGGAAAATCTGAGGAGAGCTTCAAGGAGGATTCCCTGGGTGATGTTGATGAGAATTGAATGGGGATGGTGAGGAAAATAGCTGGTGAACACTGAGGATAGTTTCAAAAATAACTTAAGTTTGTTCTGATGATAATTTAAAAAAAAATACTGAGGGAGATTAAGAAGAGTTCTTTTCTGTGTATTTATTCTGTAAGTCGTGACACATTTTTTACAGCTTATTTTCGATACAGTCCTTACAATACAAACAATAATATTTGAAGATATTATTGAAGATATATTTGAAGATAATTTTAATTAAATCTTAAGGAATTTCCAAAGATATCTTGAGAAGGTCCAAAGAAATAATATAGTTAATTCAGACATTGAAAATTGTACACAGAAATTATAGTCCAGAATTTTTTTTCGGGGATTCTGAGACTTTGCTTGGTAACAAATTTGAAAACCCTTGGGCCTCATGACGGAAGTCGAAACGAAGCATATTTTCAGGCTGTTACAAGATCTTCAAAATTTGATCCGCGACATCCACGACTTCTCCAAATAAATCCACGACTTCAAATACTAATCCGCGACTGATAAACAACTGTTTTCATTGCTTAAAAATACCATCTGCATTACTACTACATGGCATTTCAATCTTATTGCTTCAAGCATATTAGCTAGTTGCTTGCTCTTAACTTAGTGTTTTTGTAGTGCTTCCACATTTTAATTGAGAGCTTTCTATGCCTGTGAAATCCTATAGCAAAGGAAGTCGAGAAATTTTCCATCCCGACAAATTAATAGACCGGCCGGGTATCGAACCCATCTTCCTCTCCAAAATAGACTTGCTTCGTAGCAGCACCTTTACCGACTGAGCTAAGGGAGTATCTTTAGTCCCCATTGAAAAAATAATAAAAAAAAGTATCAACTTCAGTTATTTATATTCTTGGTAGTATAACAGGGTGTCGACTCAACGAAGAAAACAAAATTCCCTGATATTCCCTAATTTTCAAAAAAATTCCAGGTGCAGCTCCTACCCGGTTTTGGCAACACAACCCCATTAGCTATAATTTTCCTCAGAATATATTAGTGCTTCATGTACATTGTTTTCAAAATACCACACGGACCTCTAACCCATGAAGAGCGGTCCAGTACAACTTCAAATTAAATAAAGCGTTCCATACATTTTATAGATTGCAAACAAGACAGAAATCTCGTGTTGCCAAAAGCGGGAAGGATCCGCACCCTAGGGGCATAAATTCATCTAAATCTCCAAATCATCTTCATGGTGACCAGGAAATCTCGATTAGCA